ATTAAACCTAGCTAAAACGGACAACATTAATTATGATAACAGTTAAAAATGTATAGAAAACATAGCAAAATTACTCCATATGATTAAATTTGTCTAAAATATATGTTACAATATAATACTTGTAAAGAAAACACAAAGTGGATCCCAACACATAACACAGTTACCGATGGCAACAGGAAAAGGGGGAGGAGCTGCCAGTTACTGGTTGCTATGGTAATCACCAACTGTCAAGAGCAGCGTAACAGAATTTAATTCAATTCAAATTCAAATACTCTTTATGTGTCCCAAAGGGAAATTAAATGTTGTTGTAACTCATTAATTTAGATTCTTCAAAGAGTTATTGAAAATTGTGAAATAAATTCAAAACTATTAGAATTGTACTGATTTATCTGTGCCAATTTTCTTAATTTTGGGAGGTTGGTGATTAGCCGATACTTACATGTGAAGCCTATCTTTCCCCCTGATTTTGTCTACCTTGGCAAAGGTCACCCACCAGGTCATGTTTCTATGTTTGCCATTAACAATAGGAACCCCACTGTTACCAGTTCAGTAACTTTTTCATATTTTTAGCAACATTTCATACAAAATAAATTATCAGCCAAAATCAGAATTGGTATGGCTTGTTATAGATCAGCCAGAAAACTGACATGTAAGATCATATGTCAAGACTGCTGTGTTTAAAAAACATACAAGATAACATGCAGTCAACAAAATTAAAGTTGCCGTCTGTAACTTTTCCAAAAATATGTTTTTTGTTAAAACTGTCACCATGTTGTGACCGTTTGTTATGAGGCATATAATCTGTGAAAAGATCGATCTCTATCTCCTCCCTTATCTACTGTTGCAGTCTGAAAAAATGCATTGTTCTCGGTCAAAAACAATCAATTAGAGCCAGGAGAAAGGTTTTAGCGCTGTCAATTATCCTAGAGCACACGCTGCTAAATGTGGTAATGGTGAAGAAACAACTAACTGCAACAGGGAAAAGGTTCTGTTGTGAACAAAATGTAGTTTAGCAGAGAGTGAGGGGGAAGGTCTGAGCAGCGTGTACACAAGAATGATAAACAGAGATTGGAGGAGTTTTAGTTTTGCCTGAAAACATATCTGTTTCTTTTTTCTTTATCAATGTATGGTCAAACAAATTACAGGTTTGTAATGTGTGTTTTGGACAATGAACCACTGAATCATCATCATAGAGAAGGAAAAAAGGATCTTTGATATTATCACCAGATTTTAAATGGTAAACGTTTAAAATCGTTGACGTTTACCTCAAAAAAAAAACCCTTGAGGTAAACGCTCTGTTTACAATAATTTTAAAAACAGCCCACTACTTTGTCTGGCAGGTCTATTTCTGAAAGGTTTAAAATGTCACAATCAACAAGGTCAAAATATTTTGACAAATATGTCTACTTGCGGTACAGTAATCCTTCACAATTGATGTGTTTGTCCAAACAGCCATAACCTGCACAGAGTGTCCACCTGGGTGGCTGCAGGTGGGAGACCAGTGCTTCCACATGAGCACCGACAGGCACAACTTCACCTCCAGCGCTGAGAAATGCAGAGAGGCAGGAGCCCAGCTCGCCATGTTGACAACCAGAGAACAGCATGTAAGCGCTTCTGTTCGTCTTAAAGGTACAGTATCAAATAATTGGTATTGATTATCATGTTCTTAAATATAACTTTTAGGATGCTGTGGAAAAAGAAGGCAGGAGGATCGCAGGGTTTCACATTTACTACTGGATCGGACTGAGTGACAGTGTAACTGAAGGAGACTGGAGATGGATGGACAACTCAACGCTAATAACTTCGTATGTATTTTTAAAAAAAGTCCTTTAAGATCTGTTCATCATGTACTTATAAATACTTACTGAGTGTAGCTTGATGATAATTGGATGGTGAGCTGCCATCAGTAAAAATGGATGTGAGATAAAAGACAAACCTTCAATAAACTTAATGCAGTTTCTTTAACCTAAGAATTTTGTACACTTTGATCAAATGTATATTTGGAAAACTGACCCACTTACAGATTTCTTCTGTTTCTTTTAGAAAACAGCCATTGTAGACAGTAAAATGGGGGACAACATTTCTGTCAAAGAACTCAGAAATCTAGAGATTAATCTCTGAAATTTTCTAGAAAAAAACATGGAAATTAGTAAGTTTGAAAAGTCAAAAATCTTAGAAAAAAAATACTTGAAAATTTGAAAAGTAAACTTTTTTTTTTACTTTTGAAAAGTTTTTTAACTTAAAAACTCAAAAAAAAAATTAAATTAAATTTTCAAGTTTTTTCTAGAAAATTTCTGCAATTAATATAAAAATTTCTGAGCTTTTACTCTTCCCGTTTTCTGTCTACATAACAAAGACCCTAGTATGCTGTTTTTGCTGCAGTCAGTTAATCAAACAACTTTTAAGGCAAGAGATTTAAAAAATGCATTTTTCATATGATGATTTAATTTATTCAGGTACACACTTGTTAATAAATTTAACTCATCTTGGCTCTTTGTGAAAATACAATCACATTTCCAGCTGAGTTATAAACCAAGAATGTTTCACAGCTGCACAGAAAATCAGACCAGATGTAACTGCTATGGAGAGAAAAAAACTGAGAGAAAATGAAAAGTCGACAGTTGAAAAAACTGCAAATAATGCAAATTGGAGAGTAGAAGAAGAAGAAAATGAGGAAAAGTGATCCGTTTGACCCTAAGCTTAAAACTATAGCAGCAGATCTACAGAAATGGCTCAAGGTAATATTTAAATCCCCCAATTATGATTGTTTATGAAAAAAATACAGTAAAGATAATTAGCCACCTGGGTAAGTCACGCGACATAGAGACTGCAACAGCCAATACACTCTCTCTTTTACTCCCAATATCACTGTAAAATGTGAAAAACACTTAAACTGTTGAGGGAAACTCAGATTCGTTTGATCAACAGAATAATGTGTACAACCTATTATAGTTTTCAAAGGCTGCAGACAAAACATGGCAACATGGTTCTCTGGTATGAGACTGAAAAAAAATCACAGCAGCAACATGTGTTGGAAATAAAATTTAACTAGAGGAAATACAAATGTTTTTAAAAGCAGAACTAAGTGATGATACCCAAAAGTCAGCACTAGTTTGAAATCCAGACATAAAAGATGTCAGGAAAAAAACAAAATAATAAAGTAGATGATTTTTTTAATTGAGTACAGCTCACACGTGCCCACACACTGAGCATAAAATGATTCATAAACCAATAACATGTCACATGTTGCATGTAGGTCATTCCTGCTGCGAAGCAAACAGTGAGACGCCCTCACTAGATTAATTTCCATTTACAAGAATACCCTTCAAATAAATAAAATTGTTTTGGAAACAACTGATTTCAAGCCAGACCTCAGGATCAGGATGAACAAAGACAGAGAGGGGCATTGTTACTTAAATAGTTTCAGCATATATTTTGATTTTCAGTGTTGTGTTAATATGTTAGCATTAGATCAGCATGTGGCAGTTTAAAAACTGATAAATGTCAGAAATTGTGGGATATAGTGAAATACTTTGTTACTGTGTTTAAGTACATTTCTCCTATTTACATAAGTAGTTTTTTTTGTTGGCATACTTTTGACTTTTACTTCAAGTATCTGTACTTTCTATTCCACTAATTTTTGTGTTACGTAACATATTACATTCACATTGCATTGTGTTGTTTTTTTATTTATAAGTTTGTAAGTAACCAATTAGAGTTAATAGGTTAAAAAAACAACTTGATGTGGTTCAACTCTTGTGTCCATGTTTTTAAAATAGTGACTGGAAATTAAAATATTGTTCCCAATTGACCCATTACAAACCTGAATTTACAGCAATTTAACGCTTAAAACTTTAAATGTCAGTGGAAATGATCAGCACCTATTTCTTTGTTAGGTTTGTCTAATGCCTCTTTTTTCAGGGAGACAACTTTTACTTAATTGTGTTTACTGAAGTTAAAATATCACATTGGTATTGTTTTGTGTTAAATACTAACCTTCTTTCTTATTAGCTGAATGGTATTTAGCTGCAGGTCAAATTCTGATGCACAGAATCACACTGCAAAAGCTACTAAATCTCACTAAGTACGTTTGGCTTCTAGTGCAAATATCTTAGTTCACTCGAAATAAGGCAAAACTAACTTACAGGTAACTTTTCAGCAAGACATAGGATCTTGTTTAAATCAATAATTCCTTTAATAGTTGTTAGTGAAATAATCTGTCAGTGGATCAAGACATTTTTCTATATTATAAGTGAAATAATCTTTCAGTTGAACCATTTCTTTTTCATTAATATTAAGGAATTATTGGCTCCTATTTCTTGCTGAATCGTTACTTGTAAGTTTGTTTTGTCTTATTTCAAGTGTACTAACATATTTGCAGTAGAAATGAAACCACAGATACTTGGTAAGATTATTTTTTTTTGCAGCAAACTAGTCTAATTGTAAACTGGGTCACAAAATGCAACCACAATTAAAAAAAAAAGCATTATCTGCAGCTTTGTTCATTAAAATGGCAGACGATTAACGTATTACAGAAAATACACAAACAGTATTTTTTATTTTTGTCTCTTTTGTCTGTTTATTTGTATTTTTACTAAAGCAAAGTGTTTGTAGACTTTCTCCACCACTGAATGTGAGTAACTCATGAAAACCCTCTTTGGGACTTCTTCTACAAACCTCTAGGTGGCGCCTGGGAGTCATTCTGTGTTCGAATACAAATACCTGCTTTGGTGTCACTTATCTACATTTCCTCTGAAGATGGTTCTGATTGGTCTTTGTGGAAACACTGGTTTCTGTTCTTGTCTTTTTAAAGGTTCTGGAGTGTTCACAGATCAGAACCAGACAACAACCAGTCCCAGGGCCCAGAGGGAGAGGACTGCGCGGTGGTGGACAGCTACACTCAGAGCTGGTACGACGTCCCCTGTGAATTTGAGTATCCAAGAGTCTGTCAGAAAGCCGCCACGCCGCTGCTATAAATCAGCAAACCACCACTCAGCTGCTGCATACTGTTCCTTTATTGAAAAATCTCACAATACAGTCATCATGTTACAGCTTCACCTTTAAATCAACTTTATGTTTCTATAAAAATCGTCTTGTTTTTTCTTTTGGGAAATAAAGTATCACCATGTGTACAAAAAGAAAATATGTTGAGTATATTTTTTTATATAATTGAATAACTATATCATGAACAGATAAAATATAATTGAAAATACACATTACATGACAAGACACTTAAAATTACAAAAACAGTGTTTCCACAATGATAAATTCACAATATTACAAATATGTTACATCTTAAGTACAATTTTCTGACTACAAAAGATTCTGACCCTATTAAAGAGAGAGTAAAACAAAATGATTTCCAAAAAAAACAAACACAACAAAAATCAACAAAACTTATTGCTGGATTTAAATTAAAATTGGAAACAATATAAAGACAGCATGTCAACATCAGTAAGGCTGTCAGGAGGTACAATCGGGAAGCAATTAACAGTGAGGGAAAGGCTGTAAACTGTCAGTCATTACAGAAAAGCAAATATAAACTCCAAAGAATCACTAATCTATATGGTTTAATATTTAAAAGTCCTTCAGGGAAACATTAAACGCTTCTGTGCAGAGAAAAAAAGGATTAAAATCCATTTTGTCTGACTGGCAGAAAAGACAAAATCCTCCATGGATCGTTAAAGTGACTTTTTTAAAACTACTGAAATAACCCTAAACCACTGTAGTTTCTTTAAAATGTAAATATAAATAGCAAAAAAAAAAAAAAAAAAAAGAAAAAACCTGCTGCCTGTTTGTGGTCTGAACACTTAAAATTGATGCATATGACCAATCAAGACGCAGTCCTTTTATAGTCTCTATGCTATTTTTGTACAAATAGAATTTAAATATTTTTTTAGACAAATATATTCTGATTTTAAATTTAAAAGATTGTCTCGACTCTTTTGAATGGCTGGTAACAACGGCTGGCATTTCAGCCAACCTCCTTCCATTTTATATCAAATCTACAAACATCTCAGTTTGAATCTCAAAGTTTTTAATTATTTCTACAAATCATGACAATAAATATCGTTCAGTGTGTTCAAATAATTTGTATAATCTAATTGTTTAGTATTTTATTTTCTGAAAAATTTTAATTATATTGTATTTCCACTGATTGTGGTTCTTATCCCTGTTGAACAAAGTTTACTTTAGCAAAATATGGAAAATTATGATCACTGGTGAAGCCAAAGTAGCAAGCATTGATCTCTGGTTGATATATATCAATTATTGGTCACATTTAAAAAAAAATACTTAAAATCATTTGTTGGAAAAGTAGTTAACACTGTTTCCAAGCTGATTCATTTTAATTAAGAGATGCAAAGTTAAAAACAGCAAATATCTGATCTGGTTGAAATGACCATTGTCAGTAAAAAACAATCCAAAAAGGTAAGAAAAAGTGGTGGATATGTACAATTTTTACATTTGTTTTCTCTCTCTTTTCATTTTATCAATGTCTGCAAGCTTCCGTTTCTTCTGTCTCTCCTTCAGCGCATGAAAGACAGTTAGCACAGTTCAGAAACGACGAGGGTCCGTTTGGGACAGAATTGTTTGCATGACGCCCTGATGTCCTGCTGTGAACGTCCCAACTGTCAGGCCTTGTAGAAACCTTTAGGCTTTGGGCTGGAAAACAAACAAAAGAAAAATGTTTGGTTCAAGAAAAGAGACACGAATGTTCTTGATTCCTAAAGGTGACCTATTATGCAAAATTCACATTCACAATTGTGTCACATTCAATGGGCACTGCGCTGTTACTTAGCAACTCCACCAGAGTTACAGCCTGTTACCTAGCAACTCAAGAGGTGTTCCAACATGTTTAGTCACCTGGTTTTACCACTCTATGAGTTGTACAGTTGCTGCTGGAAAAGACAAATTATTAATTGTTGACTTACCATCAACAAACTACTTACTACATTCTTGTTGGTTGTGTAAGAAGTAATGCTAATGCTAATGCTTTTCCATATCTGTTTGCAGCCATTTCTATGTCTGAGTGTAAACGTCGAGTTGGGGGGCGTGGCCAGGAGCACCTTATTTGGACTTAAAGTGACAAGATGCCCTAAAACATTTCTTTCTGAAAGAAGTTCAAAATGATTTTGTAATGAACATGTTTTGTAGCCCATAGATCAATCCTAACCTGTTCAAGTAAGCATAACAGGTCACCTTTAAAACTTCAGTTATATGTGTGTAAAAGTATCAATGCATGCCATCCTGTCAACCCAGGAAATGATTATCGCTTACTTTTTGCACTTGCAGAGTCGGTGCCTGAGCTGTCTCATCTTGTGCTGAAGTGAGTTACAAAAAAGAAAGACAGACAGTGAGAAAAGAAGAGCTAACATTCATGTCTGATCCAAATGCAAATGAGAAGAGTTTAATGTACCTGTCTGCGCCTGAAGAGGATGAAAGCTAGAACGAGGAGGAGGATTAGGATGACTCCAGCAGCGCATATGGTCACTATCATCCACACAGTGAGAATGGGGTCTGTGGAGAACAGAGACAGAGTCATCAAACAGCTTACAGTAGAGAAAATGACAGGTTCAGCTAAGTTTCTGTCTTCAAGCGGCCGCAGGTTCATAACCATGCCGTATTTCCTGCTCTCCTCTCGCTTCCTGTGCTCACCGATCTTCAGAGTTATCACAGCTGACGTCAGCGTCGTCGTGCTCCGCCTCAGATCACACCTCCACTTTCCAGAGTCCTCCGTTCCCACTCTCGGGATGATCAGGTGACCGGACGAAAGATTGGCTTTAGCCAGGGATGATGTTTCAGGGGGGACCCATTTCACCATGACGCCAGTTTCCAGAGGACCGCCGGTGGAGCAGGACAGGTTCAGGTGGTGGCCTGAAATTAACTCCGTTCCTGGGGAGGGGGTGACTGGAGAACAAAGAAAAAGTAGATTTTGTTTTTCATTTTAAAGCAGAAAACGCACAGAAAAATAAATCTGTCACAGCCTTCTAAGTTCCAAAACCTAAATTTTTCCAAGGCCGTGGGTGGCAACATGTGGTTTGTTTCTTTAACGCACTTCCGGATTGATTGTTAGAAAAACTGTTAGGCAAAACAGCAACTAAAAGTTTCTTACAACTTAGATAAAAACGAAAGTTAACTTATCTGATTTTACAAGTTCAAAAAGTTGTCAAAAATTATAAAAAAACAAAAAAAACTTCCGTTGTCACCCCGGACACCGTCCTCCACCAAGGTGTGCTTTTAATATTCTAAATTAATGGAAAGGTCTTAATAATCTTAATAATTCAAAACAATTATTTACAGATTTTAGTTCTAACTTAAGTATATTATAACTGCCTAGAGACAAAATATAGTTGCTGTGTTTCCATTACAAATGTGCACAAATCTGTGTCGATATTCTGCTAATAACCCATTTTTGCAATCACGGTGCTTCCATTAAATAAGAAATTATTTTAAAATCAGTCGTTGTTCATGCAGTAAGTCATTAAAAATGATGTTACATGAGATAGATTCATAGTTCAGTCATGGTGCTGGCGCTCATCATTTATCAGAGGAGACGTTGGCGTCTTATTCAGGCGTTACCACAACAAGCTCCTTGAATTTGGGAGCGGCTACATAAACGGCGTTTTAGGGAAATTAGTCTGTTGTCTTCTTCGTCGTTTTCACCAGTAGTAACATCTGGCCAAGGGCGTAGGTTCGGTCTAAGTTTTGGTGGGGACCTTGGTGGGGACCTTGACACCCCCCCCGCAGCACAGTGAAATGCCCAAGAGCACCAAATATTTTTGAGAAGGGGGGGGAAACCACATTGGCTTAATAACCCCTCCCCCCAACCATAACCATATCATACATCTTGTGTATACAACCAGATACAGTCATACTCAGCAGATCAGTTCAAGAACACTTTACTTTTTCCTTTACAAAATTCAGCAAACGTTACAAGTAAGATCAAAAGAAATATCCTCTGGATACAGCAAACACAATTGCAGATAAGAAGAAATCAATAATAAAATAAAATAATATATTGCACTAACAAAAAAAATAAACATGAATAAAATTCTCTGTATTATTGCAATGTTTGTTGCATGCTCATGTGTGTCTGTCTTTATCAACTGGCAAAATGTGTTATTTAAATGCACCAAACACATGCCTCCGTCTGTCATTTACAGACACAAACTGCTGCCCAATTTGCTTGATATCAATGAGGTCCAGTGCTGTTTGATGCACATGGCATACACTGATGTTGTTAAGGCGCTGCTGGGTCATTGTCGACCTCAGCCAGTTTTTCAGCCTTTTCAAAGCACTGAAGCTCCTATAGAGCAAACAAAGCGTAACCTGGTTTGTATTCACACTAGCTTAACTTAATTTAAGACTAACACTTCAAATGCCATATTTACTGAGATAATTTCACAGTATATTTCATATCTGAGAACTAACACCTCACCTGGAGCCCTGAAGCTCCAGCCACCTCTCCATCGTTCTGCTCTGCCCCTTGCTCTGCTGTCTGAGCATCCTATGTGAAAAAATATTACATAATTAACAGACCTATTCTACCTCACATTCAGTGCTGACCTTACTAAACACCGGACTTTACAACAAATGCGTTGCGTGATAGATATCTAACTTATGGGTCCACTCACTGTACTTACAGCCGACGTAGCGAAATAACTTCTAATGTCTGTCCTTTTCTTTTTTGGTGGCGACATGGTCTCGGAGACTCAGAAGGAGACGCGTGTGCCCAGCTAGCCGCCGCCTTTTGCAGCTAATCAAAGAACGTCCGACGATTCAACTGACTCCCCCTCCCCCCACCCCCCCGACACGGTCTCGGAGGCTCATAATAAATGTCAAACTAAGAAGCTTCCGTTCCGCGCACCGCCTGTTGCTGCTAATCAAAGATCGTAGATCCACGTTCTTTGAGCCAATATGGCAAAAATTGGTCGGGACTTTTTCATATCCCGTGAATATTGGTCGGGACATGTCCCTACCGTCCCTACCCAAACCTACGCCCATGCTGGGAGGGATAACATTTCATTTTTACTGCTAAAAATAATTTTAAAAAACACAATAACAGTAATTGACAGGACCCCGA